ACATTCGACCTCTTAAAGACATTGTTTTTTTGGTGGTTATTTCGAAGTGTTAAGAAATGCCGATATATATAAAGAAACAATATCACGAGACAAGATAGCCGGAGGTGTTAACCAAAGTGATACTCGTATACAACATTTTTAAATGTTTGTTTTTTTATGATCGTTTTTTTTTTTCTTTTTTTTTTCTTTCTTCATTATTGACATTTTTAACATGATCAGCAATAACTTTTTTATTGAAAATTTCTATCTTTACTATTCTACTACAAAAAGTGTATATGTATATAGTGTGGTGTTGTCAAATGCCAGTGTGGTAACGGAACACTTGGTTCATTAGAAATATGTAATCATCGTAGATTTTTTATTATTAAACTCTTTTCATTAAGGTATAAGGAAACACTATGTTAGAATATGGAGCTTTAAAAATTTGGATCTTTAAGAATTGTTCAATTACATAAGGTCACAATGGGTTTGTATGAATTATTTTGAGTTCAGACTATTATACAGTATGATACAGTATTGGCATTTCTTTGTAGTAGATGCTGTTCATGGGTTTGGCCCTCCAGTAGTATATTTACACTAAGAAAAAATTCATGTCTAAAATTGCCTTTTTATGATTTTGGTAAGATTTTAACCAATATTTCACAAAATATTAAATATAAGCTCCATTGTGTCTTTGTTAATGGAACCCTTTTTTTTTTTTTTTTTTACAAAAATGTTTTGGTGGTGGGCACTATAAAAGATTTTGTACATAAATTTGTATTTTTGCACATAAGACACAGTCTGGAACCATAGCAACGGTTGCTATTGAGACTGTCGTCGCGCCTTGTAGCCTCATCCTCATCCACATCCACATGTGAAATGCTTTATTTTTTAGATAGAAATGACAACATTTTCACCATTTTTCAAAGAAATTTTGTTTTATTTTTACACAACTGCATCGAGATTAGATATTGCAGTCTTGATTTTGAATATTTGTTTCTACACAGTTTTTAAACTGTGACCTATGTGCTGTTGATAAGTTGTTGGCAAATGACCTGTTAGTATGAATGGAATCACGGGAATAAACGTCATTTGTTCTAGAAATATTTCTTTGTCTTTTATGTATATACCAGACAACTTGACGGATTGACACCTGCTAGAGCAGGATTTTTCTTTAACTCATTTACCCCCGAAATTTCATAATGAACTATTCCAGCCTTTAAATTGGAAGAGTTAAAGTATGTTGACAGGGGTGATTGAGTCAAGTTTATATTTCATTATGCAAATCTGTAGCTTCTTTTTTTTAACAAATGGAGTCAAAGGTATTATATTTGATGTCGATAGAAACTTATTTTAATTGCGTCTCAATGAAAATGCTTAATTTTTCTATGAATATTGTGGCATTATAGATGAAATTTCCTGCTACAGTGAATAAATATATGTGGCTTGGATTCACAAAAGCTGAATCCAGGTCACATTTGATCAGTACATAGACCTTGAATGAATAACATTTGATCTTGAACATACCTGTCACACAAACCATATATAAAGACTTCAAATTTAAATAAAAACATAAATGGTATTGAATTTTCAGTGCCCTGAATCAGAGTTGCAGGTGCCCAATAGTAATTTTGACAAAATAAAATCACAAAATTTCCTCCATCTTTTCAAATTGATAGGTGGGTTTTTTTCTTAAATCAAGAAATTTAATTTGACCTTCGTGTGACCTAATTGACTGACATAAGACAGAAGAAGAATGAAAATATCAAATCAGCATTATGCATGAAGAAGAACATGTAAAAGTCATCGAAGAGGTCATCAAAGGATGCTACAAAGAAGGTCAACTGAAGGTCACCGAAATCTCAACTGAAAGTCACGGAACAATGAAGTATCATGCATGCATAATCTCACCATCAACACCAGGAATAAACCACCACCATCAACAAGAACTTGACCTCGAAGAAAACATTGGAAGGAAATGTGGATCTCCATGGTAACGACTTGGTGGTTTTTGGTTTTATTTCCATAATCAGCTTTGTGACTAGTATCCGAGTGTATATATAATCTACTCCATTAGAGGGCTCCACTGTGCATGGTATTCTTATTGCTTCCATCTGTATCGCCAAAAAGCTTCATTTCCAGGTTTTAAACATTTGTACTCCAACTTCACCATGTATATACTGGTTGACGCTCTTCATATTACAAGCTTATTTCTGACTCAGATGTGCATTTTTTTTCTTTTCATCTTAATACACATGTAATCAGTGTTCGTTTATTTAATCAAAAAATTTCACTAACTTTTGTAATATGTGTTTGTTGATGAAGGAAGACTCTTAGTTTCCAGTATAATTATCTAAAACATTTATTTTAACTGAAATGAATTGAAGGTGATCAGCGAAAAACCAGACTTAAATAAAGATGAAAGAATCTTTCTGGCCAGAAATCAGCTAAGTAATTGAAGAAAAAATATTTGTACAAAATGTATACATGTATATATGCATACAAGAATTCCAATCCACTTTTGTGTACAAAATATATACCTGTATATTCATTAGGCAATTTATATCACTGAATTAACATCACTGTATATATATATATATATGTATATAAAAATAGATATATATATGTCTGTTTTATGGCTTTTAATATAGAATAAATTTGATTGGTCAATAAATATCAGTGAAATTTTTTCATAAGCATGATGTCTATCTCATGAATGTTATAGTATATCTATTTAATTTGCTGTGGCATCAGATATAGCGATTTTTGAATGATAATATATTGTTTTTTTTATGGATTTGTTTTAATCTCAATTTAAAGGTCATATAATTAAACATTTACTGACTTGTTGTAGTGAATATGACATTTTATGTACTAACGTAACCTTAACTCATTCACCCCTGAAATTTCATAATGGACTATTCCAACCGTTGAATTGGAAGAGTTCAAATGTGTCTTCAGGGGTGAATGAGTCAATGACCACATTTTTTCTGAACAATATAAACAAAAATTATAAGGTTAATAAAAGTCCATATTCACCTCAAAGACTGTCATTAATTGTGAATATTAACATATATACATATATATATATACAATTGATACCTATTATAATGCTTTAGCACCATATATACTGTGTACTTAGTTTGTGAGTGTCTTTACTAATGATTAGATGTGTATATATACAGGCACTTGACACTTAGGATTGTAGACCTATATACATAGCGAGTTTTTGTTCATACCCAGGTGTCCTACACTATTGTATACTTGTAGACACCCTAAGCACATACCTTGATACAATCTTGTACATGTACCATTTATGAATTTCTATAAAAGGCAGCCATTTACCATAAGTGTTGCATCTTAGTTCCTGAAAAATTGTAAAAAATATTGAAAGTGGTACATACGATATGTTGTGAGGTGTATGTTTAATTTTTATAACCATTTTTTCTTCCTATTTGAGATAATTTTGTTCTTCAAAAACATATCCATATATATTTATACCTTACCTTTCCATCCCCAAAGTTTATCTTGGGCTCTCCCGTCTGTTGTCGTAGAACGGTCCAGGTCAACCTTTGGGGGGGCGTTAGGTTGCATGAGAAGTTTGAGGTGATTGGCTGATGAGAAACCAAATGTTTACACTGACGACATTGACACTTATTAACTCATTATGATGAATAGTTAATATATTAAGTTTTGTATACCCTCAGGATGCTGTATATTACATACAACAATATATAGTTACAGTTTGATTTAGGTCTGAAAGTTCAGAACAGCATTTATGTACATTATTGTATTCTTATTTGTATGCTGCAGGTTTTCAGTTTCATCGAGATTTTTTTTTACATGAGTGATTCTTTTTGAAGTATTTTGATAAAATCAACTTGTATACTAACAAACCTTAATATCCGAGAGAAACGTTAATATACCTATATACCCAGGATGGTGTACCCCAGGCAACCTATCAATAGATTTGTGGCTAAGCGTGATCATTGACCTTGTGACCCTTCACCTCCCTCCCCGTCTGTTGCTGCCAAATCTGTTTCGTGACTTTAAATAAAGCCTCTACCTACCTTTGTTGAGAAATGTGATGTGGTGTCGGAGTTTGATATATACGATAGCCCAATTTTACGACACTGTTTTACTCAGCCTAATGTGATGTGTCAGGGGGGGGTGACAAATTCACGAAAGAACAGAATGTAACACATATACTGATGCTTCACCCAGTTTGCTCCAGAAACATGATTTCGTCAACTACAATTTTAGTAGCTGTCTCCTTTAAAAAGTTTAATAATACCTAATTTGACAATAATTTGCATGAAATTTCATGAACATAGGAAATATTTTGCTTCTCTTTGTACAAAAAAAAGTTTGGCTCTTTGTCAGATTAGTTTTATTACGTCATGCTCAATGTAAAACTGGATTTTAGAGTCAGATATTTTCTTTTTGTTCTTACTTATCAAAGTTTAGATTAAAGTACAAGAATAATATACAGCTCAAAAGAAAATCATGCTTTAAATTATTTTAATTTCATAAAAAAGAGTGGATTTTATTTTCCACAAATTCAAGGGATTTATACGTTCCACATGATTTATCGTTTATTTTCATTCCTAAATATATAATTACCTATTTCATGTAGCCTTTTATTTATTTTATTGGTATGAATCATATATATTGCATGAATTGAATGTATATATCAGAAACTCATTGACAACACGAATCCTATATATTTATTATTCTTTTCCTTGCATATTCTATGCTTAATTACTGCATATGTTCAACCTGGAAATTTCTGTTGTCATTCAAGAACATTTTATTTTGGGGGGAAATTTCTATTATCAATTGAAAATTCTTGATCGAATATCATTCTACTGTTTAAATGATTTAGGTAGTTTGGAGATGTAAAAATAAATATTTGCAGCGATACAAAGTGTTGACCAATTACATATAAGTAAGAACTATTGCTAACTTGAATCTATCATTTGTAATGATACGATGGTGATGTTATTTATTTTTCTTTATAGTTCATGGCTGGACACCCAGCAGCCTCTGCAGCGGCGTTCAATCAGATGTACGCCCAGGCCCCTGGAACAGCCGCCATGCTACAGGCTCTTCCATTAGAGGTAGGAACAAAATAATTAAAATGGAAACGAAAACAGTTACTTCATCAATACTTATTTCGATATGCTTGTAGATATCAATTTACATAGCTTCTCTTAACTCATTCACCCCTGAAGTTTCATAATGAACTATTCCAACCTTTGAATTGAAAGAGTTCAAATGTGTCTTCAGGGGTGAATGAGATAAAAGTCAATGTAAAAACATCATACAAAGGCACATCCTACTGGCTGGTGGTTTTTTTCCATTAAACAACTTCTTATCAAGAATGCTCATTGTGATTTTAACCAAACTTAACAAGTACATTTCTCACAGTTAATAAAGTGTTATCATTTGGATTTATTCAAAGTTCAAGATATTTAATTCACTTGTCATTGCCAAGAATATTTGATAGTTTAAGCTCAAACCGGGCAGCTTTGGTAACCACACTTTGTACAAAAAAGCTAATGATCATATCATATGACCCAGACAAAGTGTTATCTTAAAAAGTGCAACAAAAATATTGAAATCCAAGATAAAGTATCAGGTCTGTCATTGTATACCTTGAACATTATATTTATTAACTTTTAAAACGTCATGCAGTCTCAATACATGTATATCAAATCTAATAATAAAGTTTACCAAAAACCTCTCATATCCCTAGTGATGTATTAAATGACAAATAAGTAATAGTATAGGCCTCTGGAGCATATTGTTCTACATCCCATAATAGTAAAGAAGATCATACTCCACAAATATCTTAATGCTTATGATTTTGGTTTAATTGTAGGACCACGATGCTTTGGAAAACACGCCACACTTCCAGACCTACGCAGCCACACCCTCAAGGTAAGACGGGAACTTCCTGTACTTGGATCATCAGGTCATTAAAAAGATTCAAATTAACACAATGTCTTAGCATCAAAATCTGTAGTTGATAATTTAAATAATCTGTATCATTATATTGATTTTTTTTAATTGGATGTAAAGATATTCAAGATTTCATTTGTGCCACTATTGTAAGTTTCCAGTTATATTTAAGATTAAGTGCAATATTTACAATTGATATAAATCACATCTAGTATATTATATGTATATATATAGTTCAATATAAGATCTTTGAAATCAAGTTGACCTTGTTTTTGTTTACTTTGAAATTTACCATAATTAATTAAAGAATTCATATTTGATTAAAATCCTGATTACCTCCCTTGTCGGATTTCATCTGGTTATGGTACACCAAAGTAGGTTATCGGGATTAAAATCTCTAATATTGCTATACAAATGATGGTTACTGGTGTTAAATATGCATACTAAATTTATGGAAATATTACATCATTAAAATTCATTTAACAATTAAAAAAATATGAAATTCATATAATGCTTTGTTTTCTTACAGTTTTACGTGATTTCATCTCTAGACATACCAACGTAAACAAACACACAGCAACCAACCGATCAGCATGACGAAATACAAATCACCGTGGTTACAGCCTACGTCATTTACATTCTGTTCCAAAATGATGCTAAAACAACTGTACCATGAAAACAAAATCACCAACTTTTTAGACCAGAGAATTATGAAGGACTAGAAGCTTGACATGTCTTGTTAGGGGATATTAAAACTCCCTTTATATAAAAGCTTAACAACTGATTACCAAGGAACTTAATTCAATAGTTTTTTGAGGATGGCAAATAAGACTTGCTGTGACAACATATATTGTTGTAAAAATGACTTTCGCAACACCATCCTATAGACATTTAAAGGCACACCAAGATACTCAATCTGGATGAAGAAATGGTGAAAACATCCAAGCACTAAGTCAAGCTTAGTGACTCGTAACGATCAATAAAATATTTTTTTTGTCTATGTCAATGCCTAAAAGTGATCAACTGGATATTATTTTTGTTTTCTTGAAAGAAATGTGATTCAATGATGCGCCACTTTTATTAGTAATCAGTAGATAGGGTTTGTGAGGTTATTGAGCGAATGTGTTTTATTCCGATATTGAAGTTACTGTCCTTTTTTGGCGTACAAATTTACAACCACCTATCTTACAAAGCTGAGATTAATTATCGTTCTTACGGGGTAACAGCTGACTGTCTGGGTGTAGCCACAAGTCTCGTCATAGGGCGAACTAAAGTTACAGTGATATTTACAAACCTGTATGCGACACAGATTACCCATACAAATCATACTTCCACTATTTTAAGTCATGCTGCTACTCCGAAGATCAGATTTCAGGTCAATATTTTTTAACATGCAAGTACAAATATGTTTTACTTTTGTTTCATTTGTGTTATAAAGAAATTGCATTAACATGCCATTGAGTTGCTCAAGTTTAAAAAAATAAAAAATAAATGTGTTTGCTTAATTTTAGTAATTAATTAATTTTAGTATTTTACACGCTAGCTGTTGAGCACCTAGTTTATAAATATAGTGTAAACACTTTTACATGGGCTTCTTCATGCATAATGCTGATTTGATATTTGTTAGTGTAAAAGTTTTAATTTCATGCATGAATGAATTTTAAGAAAGTGTTGAGGCACTTGTATCTCATTGTACTAATATGTTGACATACTTTTGACATGCTTTTCCTGATCAGAGGCCGATATGCATCACAAATCACTATTACAAGTAATCACCAAATTTGTTTTACCAAAGTTACTCTCGAGATAATTAAACAATTTGTAATATTGTTTTTTATCTGTTTCCAGAACAACAGTAAAAATATCATATTTGAAGTTGTCTGTGACATTTTTATTTCCTGTAATACTACAGAAAAACTTGAGCAATTCCATCGTGTTTTGACTGACAGACTAGGTGTTTATGTGAGTAAGTTACGATGAGCCTGGAGTCTATATACCAGACCTAAAGGCACCTAATTGATAGCATTACCGGATGGCTTCTAAGAGTGAATGATTTTTATACAGCGCGTATTGATGAAATTGAGACAAATATAGAGTCAACATTTTTAATTGTACATATACATGCTACATTTGCAAATGATGATAATTTTTAATTTTTTCTGTTCATAAGATTTTATGTTTCATTCATTTTAGAATTTTAGTAAATGTTTTGTGGTCTTCATGTGACTTATGCATCCTCTTATGTCCATAACATATTGATACGAATACTGAAATGTTTTTTTACGACTTATGCTACCTTGGCAGATATTTGCTTTTATTATTAACAATTGAATTCACTATGATTAATCGGATGTTTTACTCGACCAACAAATCAATTCAACACATCCTCAAAATTATCCAAACCTAACTTATTATTATCGTTTATAATCTACATTCTGATCAAACGATTATTTGGAACCAATCGAATGATATTTTTTGTCCAATGTATTGTTTGTGGGTGGATAATGGTGTATTAACTATCTTCAATTTTGATAAACTAAGTATACTCCGAAAATATCATTTAATATCACAGCTAAGCTACGCCAGTAACATTTTCTCGATCTGTGATTGCCCTCAGTCGAAACTATTTGATGACGCTTAGTTGAATCAATTCAATTTCAATATCAAAAAATGTGTATGAGCTCAAACAATTAAAGTTGATCAAATTGAAATAAAAATGATCACAATCCAGTATGTTCAAGGTAGCAGTAAAGAAATTGTAAATAGTTCATCATTTGTTTCATTTCAGGCCACTAATTAGTGTTCACTCAGCAGGCCAATGTAAATATCATGTTCTGTATATGACCAATCAGATTGTTTCATTTTTATGATTTGGTTGCTGGGCAACAGCAGACCAACCACTGCAGCGACCAGGAGTCACATGATGTCTGGCATAGTTATTGTATTGAAGAAACAAATTCTAGCAAGAAATATTTCGAGACTATCTAATCATCGCAACATGTTTTAAGTTGCTGGATAATTGTTCTTCAACTATTTTTATTTTATTTTAGTAATTTTATTTCTTTTTCACAGCATGCCGTAAAGTGGCTTTGATTCCTGGTATCTGCAGACGCTAGCGTTTTGGTATAGTGCTTCTCCCATTCATCATTTGTCTTTTTATCTATGTTTCATGCTACAATAAGAAAGAAGCAGTTCATATTAGTTTTAGGTTAGATTTTTTTTGTTCTCGCGTGTAGGCTTCTGTAACCAATAATGAAAGAAAATCTTGACATAAACATTTGTTTATTTATCACCATAAGGTCACTACATCACTGATGGTGTATGTAGTACTTACATTATCATTATACACGCATCATCTGTAGACATTTTTTATTAAAAAATAGCAATTTTCTTTTCCATTTCATTTTTCTGCTTCTTTTTTTTCTTGTACTTGTAACTAATTAAGAACAAACTTGAATTCTTCAGGGCAATTTTTTTTATAGAAGGCAGAGGGCTATACACATATATATATGTGAAATGAGTGTAACGGTTATCCATAAGTTGTCTTGTACTGTTATATATAAAATGTGTTTTTAAAACAAAAAAGTATTTAACCATTAAGTATCAAACGTCCAAAAAAACGTCTTCCAGACTTTAAATAAATATTATCGGAATTATAACGTACCTTGCACCCATTCCTCGGCCCCTGCACACTGCTAAGTATATATATATATTCCAGTAATAATGGTCAAAGACAATTCCTTTATACGTAAATAATATATACACATATATAGAATCCTACGTAATGCAAAATGCCACAGCGTAACTTTATGCAAAGGAACGGTAATCTTCAAACATATAATTACCTTTTGTGTTAAAGCATATTTGTTTTTCATTATACGTTTTTGAGCTATTAGTAGAATGAGAACGATTGATCAGTTAGGTTTTAGCGGTTGCGAAATTTTTCACTAGGTGTTGTAAATTGATTCGTCGAGACCGACATGTTATATTCTTATTATGCACAATTTACCTAAGAAACTGGAGACTACCTTGTATCTATGGAAACCAGTGTAGAATTTTCACTAAGTTGCTTTCGTTTTTTTTTTTTTATATCTGCAGTCTTTAAATCTGGATTTTAAACCCATGCAACCTGAACAATTTGCTGCTGTGGTTGTTTTAATAGTTTACAATTTTTTGTATCTTGCTTGAATAATTAATCATAATCTTGGCTTCTTTAAGAATATATGTTGCAAGTACTGCAACATGTCTTTTTTTTCAAAAGATTTCCAAACTGACAAACTTGTAGAACAATTTGGACTAGTTTGAGTATTGAATTTGATTTTCATATTTTGAAAAAAATAGAAGAATACTTGACTTCATAACAATCAAGTACGTTTAGTTCTGAATTATCTGTTAAGGTAGAGATTTCCACCAATTTCCTACACTAATATACAGGCACAGAAAAGTTGAATATTTCTATAAAATTTAGGTTTTGCCCTCTATCCTCATACTACAGTATTAAGTCATTCACCCCTGAAGTTTCATAATGAACTATTCCAACCTTTGAATTGGAAGAGTTTAACAGTGTCTTCAGGGGTGAATGAGTTGTAGGTTATTGGTCCTTTTATGGAGTCAAACATTTCAAAAAAAAATTGTAGTAAAGTTGCTAAAAATATTGCCATACCAAACAACATGTTCAAGAGGTCAGGGGATTGAATCCCCAGAGAGAAAGTGATATTATAATGACAAGCAACTCTACATGTATGTCAGAAAAGTAATGAACATATTGATACTCTTCTTTGATAGAGATACAAAACTGAGTGCAGGGACTCTACCTTAACATTAATTCAAAGGTTTTTGATGGGAGATAACTCTAACACAAATCACAGGTAATATTATGTAACGTAGCTTACTATATTCTGAGCGTATGAACCCTATTACACATCACAGTGCCAGTATATATATAATGTGTACAGACTCAATGTGCAATAATCAAAAAAATACTGTATAAAGATTTGTTAAGTTTCATATTTTCTTTTTTGATTTTAAATTTAAGAAGATGTTCGAAAATTGTTTTTTTTACAAGTGTATTTACTGTACAGATTGATATTGTATGTAGAAACTCTTAGAAACCCGGACAGAGTCAAAAATTGATAGATTTTGGTGTAGGGGGGATAACCACCCGACTCCACGCGAGTCGACACCTGTATTAGAAGTGGGATGAGGAAACCCATTCTTACTAAGAAAACTGTACATTGACCAGGATATCACAGAAACTCTGCAAAATATAAACTGAAATCTGTAACTGAACAACAATGTAGTGACGAGCATATGTTAAAAATGATTTGTTTTAAGTAGAATATGACTGACATCTTTGATCATCAAAGTTAACCATGCAGCTACATCAACTTCGGTTCACAAAATGTTTTTGTCTAGTTGTCCGTCTTTTTTTCATTTTTATACTTTAACAAAACCTTTTATGATCCAGTGGAATACACTCCCTTCCAATGCAAGTCCCATCTTGTGTGGACCTGACCCCATTTTAGCAGGTTTATATCAATCGTCTTGTCATCTCTCTTTTATTGAACAGAACATATGTAATCATTGATCATCCCTCTTTAATTTGTTTTTACCCATATCATTGAATCATTTCATTGAAAAAAGTCTTTTCTTTTATACAGAAAACCTTACAAAAAAAAAGATAATGAAAAAATGCATGCCTAATGTTACCTTGACCTTTGACCTAAATGTGACCTTGCTGTTTTCCTTAAATGTTGTTTGGTGTTTTTTGGAATAAGATAATTGCTGCCTAATGTTAAGTGCCAGTCAGCCATCAATCAAATAATGACCTTTGACCCCTAGCATGTTTGCGATTAAATGTTCAGTGAGAGGGTTGACATTTATTTTGGGATCAAGGGTAGCTTACCCCTTCATTCCAATAGGCTCGGTCACTTATAAGGCTGGCAGAGTCCATGTCAAAGTATAGGGTGATGAAGGGGTAGGTACCAGTTACATAAAGGAAACTTTAGATGTTGAAGGTGGATATTTTTGTTAAATATTCGTCATGTTGAATGTTGAAATTGAGGTAAAATGTTACATGTTGTATGGAAAGAAGTCCATTTTTTCAAGTGAATTGTTCAAAAATGTTATTTTTTCATCATTAGTTTTTAGCCTGTAACAGTTTACCATTGGTTATCATTGATGTCCAGGGGAAAATGTTCAATTCATGTCACTCATCTAATTTTCTCACTCCTGTACAACCTGCGTTCTCTGTGGACCAGGCACTCGTTGTCAATAGCTACAAATCACTCTTGTTGTTGTGGCAACGGGGCAGGAGGTATGACATGTGTTTGTGTGACGATTTAAATGAAGCGGTAGTCTTAGTTGTTCATCATTGTCATGAAAAATGGGAAAAAAGCAAAAAATAAAATCAATGACTGTTGAAGATGTCTTGTTTTGGTTTTTTGTCTCGCTGTCACTAAGTGGAAGCGAGACAAAGGTGTTGATTTTCCTGCGACGGCGGCGTCAACATTAAGATTTTGTGTTTAACTCATTCACCCCTGAAGTTTCATAATGAACTATTCTAACCTTTGAATTGGAAGAGCTCAAATGCGTCTTAAGGGGTGAATGAGTTAAGATAGCCAACCAAACTTGGATCATAGATGCATCGTAGGTAGACATCTCAAACCATGCATCAAATGCTGGATGCTGCGTACCTTTCATGGTCCATTGACTTTGTCAGCATCTCAATCAACATGAAGTTTTTGCATCTAAGTAAGTTTCTCTGATATGTGCATTGATGGTCAAAGCGGGGCATAAGCGAGACATATCAATCCGAATGGCTTGTTTTAAAAACACAATATCCATTTATCCGTACACCTTATATGTGTAAACCTCAAAGTAGGGTTTCAGATCCTAAAGTTACTGCAGTAATCTTTTCACTCAATACACATTATATCCTGGATAAAAGCGAAAATTTCTGAATTACAGGAATGGATTAAATCATCTGCATTTTCTATATATTCTATACAAGGACATTTAAGAGAAAATAAATTTCAGTATTTTTACTGGACACTTTCAATTATAGAAATCGTTCTCAATCTAAATTAGCTTTCTGATTGGTAAAGATATATCAGCATTCAACAAGTTCAAATCACAATGCCATTTGTTTCATCTAATCCAAGGATGCTTCTGAACAAATATGGACCAAATCCTTTCATTCCTACAGAATTAGAAGGATTTTAAAGAATAATTTGCTATGTTTCCCCTATTGGGCCCCGCCCCTCAGGCCCCTGGGAAGCCAGACCCATGGTTTATACAAAATTGGTTCCCGGCCACTACCCAAGGATGCTCCACACCAAATATGGACCAAATCCTTTCATTCCTACAGAAGAAGAAGGATTTTAAAGAATAATTTGCTATGTTTCCCCTATTGGGCCCTGCCCCTCAGGCCCCTGGGGAGCCAGACCCATGGTTTATACAAGGAGGGTTTTGCTTGGTCCATCAAAAAGAATAAAGAACAATAATTTACACATTTTGAAAATTTGATCAAGTATATTAATTCAAATTAACTCAATTCACCCCTGAAATTTTATAATAAACTATTACAAGGGTTAAAATGTGTCTTTAGGGGTGAATGAGTTAATGATTATGTAGTATGTATTTAACTATGAAATATTATGCAGTTTTACAGAGAATCTGGTGAAGCGATGGATCTTGCATAAATCCATTTGAAAATAATACATTATTACTGTATACCAGGAAAACTTAACTGGTGACATATTTCACATTCAAAATAAGATGCTATACATGTACTTGTAAACTAAGTTGTATAGTAGAGTCTGGCTACAAGAATACCTCAGCTGCATTTTATTACTACAAGGTAGCTTGTCTCCCCCTAGTTTCAGAAATTCGGACATCCTATAGTGATCAAAATGATTATTTAATATTCTAGAGACGGTGGCCAGTATATCTATGCATTATAACTTAGCAAACCTTATCAAATCACTGAGTAATTTAAAGGCTAGTATGTATACGGTAATTATATGATGACATCAGTACTTATCTCTGTGATTTCTAGCCAAACAACATTAAGCAAGTTCCGGGACATTTCAACAATGCTTCTTAATCAATGTTTGTTAAACAGTACAACATACACTTCAACACTAAGACCTTAAAAAAAATGTCTTGATGGTACACCGGGTGTAAATTATCTCATATTGTTGTATTTCATCAAATTGTAAAATGATACAAGTATTCCATCCAAATTAGATCGTAGTATTATGTTGTGAGTCTGAAAATTAACGATATAAGTGTTTAAATGCGAGCTGAAGACTGCATATAATAAATCAATGTGTATGACCGGAGACCTAAAGTGAGCAGACGACAAGTCCACAGATTAAATCTGTATTTTTACGGGAAACACACGTTTATACTCAAAACGATTGTTCAGCCTGTTGATATAACATCATACCTGTCATGTGTATTCCATTTAATCATACTGTCTGAACTTTTAGAGTCCATTAGGGTCGAAAGTTTGTCTCGGACATATATATATATAGCGGTTCGTCTTCTACGGCTGCCATATTTGTTTATCTTTTCGGTAACACTCGGGAGTCATCCACATAGTATTTACTCGGATCTCTCTGACTTTCTTCACTAGGGGTACATTCGCGTATCCGGTTGAAACGGTTGAACCGGTTGAACCTGTAAAGAAAACGACAGGTACAGATTTGGACCGAGGCTGACCTCAGGAAAATTTGGTACGTGTAGATTGAGGGGTCCAGACGTACCTGGCCGAAACTAAACTGCTGAATATTGCTAGTTTGCGTTATTTCTTTCTAAAACAATGTCAAGTCACGAGTAGTTTTTAAGATACGTTATGTAATTTAGTGGACGCGTGAGAGAAGGGCATAATATTCTTGATACATCGTTTTTTATTCTCCGAAACTGTGCATTTTTAGCTCTGCTTATAGAACGGTCCAAGTGTGTTCGTTTATCGTGGAAAATTTCTGCGCCACACGTACCGTTTCAACCGGTAACGCGAATGTAGCCTAGTATATTAAACGTTCACATCGCTCCTGTTTACTGATATGTCGCGACAGTAAACGGGAGCGATTGAAAATATAATTTTAATTAGATTGCGCGAGATTTGAAGGCTTGATCATGGAAGCTGATGTTATAGTTATTGACCATCAACTTTCTTCTAACTACAATTGTTTCGATCAGTTAATTAATGATCATTAAAAAAAAGAAAATTAATTTAATGATCATAAAAATTAGTTTCATGAGCATTAAATTCTCATTTCTTTTATTCTCGAAAACAATAATGGCTTAAAAATTTAACAGAACAGTTCAGCAGTTTTCAGCATTATCCTGAACAGTTCAGCAGTTTTCAGTTAAGTTCAGCAAAATTCAGCATCTGTAGAAACTGTAAGCAATGGTTCAGCATCCGATTTTAGTTTCAGCAAATTTTCAGCAACTGTTCAGCAAATCCTCAGCAAAATTCAGTAAAAATCAGCATTTTTTCATGAGGGAAGCTACCTAAAATGTTACTGAAAGATAGAGCATTAGTCAAACTTTCTTATAAAACAACTGCTGCTAGTGAATTACGACACATTTCCAAAATCAATCAGAATCATGTTTCTATCAACTGAATTTGCAACCATTGTTGGAAGGAAGATAACTCTTTCAGTAAAAGTGAGGGACATTAGTAATTAATGGTGCTCTAAAATTTTATTTTTTACATGAGAGTGCTGAATGCTTTATAATAATAATAATAATTTTAGGTTCTTATATACTGCTTTATCACAACCTCATTTGTAGGTTGTCTCAAAGCGGTTCACAAATATTATTATCCGTGGTTATATATATAAAGAGCCTGGCAACCAGTCAATATCTTTCTTAACTCCTTGGGGAGCATACAGCCGGTGCTGCCAATTTCGGCGCTCACAGCTAGCATTCAACAATTCTAGCACTGCCCAACTACATACTCATTTACAGCTGAGTAGACTGGAACAAGCAGAATAAAGTATCTTGCTCAAAGATACAGTACAGATTGATATCTGCTACACATTGTAAATGTATATAAAACAATCACGGAAGAAACACAAAGTAAGGACATATTTGCAAACATTATTTTGAAATTTGGTTGTCACTGCAGACATAGTTAACATTTCACTACACCCATCACCATTTTCTCCATTTATTTTACAATAATCATGAAACAAATTTTATTAGCTTATATTGATCACTTTTTTGGCGAGATGGTAGCACAGAACAGAGACATATAAAGAAGAGATGTAGTATATGTCTCTACACAGAAGTTTTATTATGTGTGGAAACCAGAGATAACCTTGGTGGCTCGGCTTGTGAACCAATAGGAATTAATGTCCGATCGGTGACTTGAACCTCAGCCGTCTTGATAAGGCGAGTGCGCTATCCACTTCACCACCTGTCCACGATATAGGATTCGTCGGATACAAAAGGCCAAAAGAATGCAAATTTGTATAAAAAGTGTTCTGGATAATTCAATTTCAAATTTATATTTCACGTAAACTATGCCAGAATTAATAGTAACTACAAGACAATGGCACGCCTAGGTGACTGATACTAACAGATAGTGCACCGGAGAGTTAAATACAAGTACTTGTAGGGTCAAATGACCACCAGTAATACAAAGTAAGGCTTAACACACATATTTAAAGATTCAGATAGTCAAACAAAGTAAACCTTTTTACTACATCATTATCCAAATGACCATTTCATCTATACATATACAAGATTTTATAATTCAGATTTCAAGGTAATATCCGATCTTGAGCAGTAATAAACAAACACACTAAAATATTTCCATGTTGAAATATATACTTCTACTGTTTTAGTTGTTAAAGTTTGCATGGCTAATATTTAGCTGTTTTTCTAGTCAGAACTAGGTCACTGGGATTAAATTTCCAGCAATATTGCCAAGACATCACTCTATCTTTGATTAATTGCGATTATAGCGGAATTCAATGCCCTGCAGAAATGGACAACTATACAGTATATTTAGTGCTGTACATGAATTAGTGCATCTGAGATAGTGTGAACGATTCTTAAACAAGAATACAGCTTTCTCATGAAGTGGACATATAAACTTTATATATCTGGTCCGGCAGGTAACCCCATACCTCCTTTTATGTGTGATCGGGAATCGAACCCTGGCCACCCACGCACCTTAAGTTGTGGGTGATTTACAGCAGTGTATGTGATGTAAGAAAGTAATATGATTATTTTGTAGAAAGAAAAAAAACATTTTATACAAATATGAAAATACAACTTTAATCATATTTCTTGATTATACATAACAAATAATTTTGTCGGTGGAAGAAAATCTTGAAAACTGGACAAAGTCTTTGAAGTCAGTCTACTACCACCATTTCTCATACAGGATCTGTCTTGGATCAATCCCAGAATTTAGTAGGATGGTTTCCATGGTTTCTATCATAGGAGACGGGCCACAGATATAAACAAGGGTCTTCCCCTTCCTCAGCTTCTTCAGTGAGTCTTGAATGTCCTCGGGGTTAATCCTGTGATCTGGAAAAAAGTCGCCACATACTGTGAAAAAGCAATTATTGGCCCTATATTTATTTTGTCCTTTTGGCCCTAACATCAGTGTAAACTCAACATATTTTTTTTCAAATTCGTTAGACACAGTAAGTTATCTCCCCTTTGTGTGTGGATGTGTGTGTGCATGTGAATGTATGCTTTTGTCATGTCATATTGTAAAAAATGGTGAAAAATAAACAATTACAAAACAAAAAACAAAAAAAACCAGTAAACTCCCCTATCCCATTTAAATAATTAATCAGTGATCCATCTACAATCTATTTTAATGAGTCCTTTTCAACTGTATTGCTTAAAAACAATGAGTCCCACAATGTTAAATTTAACCATCAATATTTTATGAGTACGGGACTGACAGGACTCGCATGTAGATTTATCTACATGTATTATCTACATAATTTATATGACTGACTCTAAATCTTAAACTAGGCATCAAATCACACGTTCACTGTGACACAATTCTAATATAAATCAATTATGTTTGAACACATTTTCAACACTCACTTTTGACATGAGGTGATGTACTTTCTGTATGTTTCCTAGTAACAAAGTATTGACATTCAATGCCAGGGAACTGGTCTGCTGCTTCAGATAACTGTTTCTGTAATAGAAAATAAATACTGACATAACATGGATATTCTTACAATATCACGATCCAGATCGAGGTTTTACAGTGTCAATTAACTTACAAACCTGTAAACAGACTAGTACCGTTATATAATAGTGCTGTATTTATGCTTTTATGATCGAACAAAGTTACATAGATATAAGTTGAAAATGTAAGTAGGCATAATTCAGACAAAATTGATATAAGGGTATTAGAAAATGGATGACAAGCTCCTAAGAAAATCATCAAAATGAAAAATAAATGACAAGTACACAACTGCCTTAAGTGCCAATCATGTGTACCATGTTTCATAAAATTTGTTCAAATCAGTATGCTAAAAATAACTTCCACCTACAGACAAACAGATGGAGAGACGGACAGACACCTCAAATCCTTGTACTTCCATCCACCCCACCCCACCTAACTGTGTTGTGGTGAGTATGAAAATAATTGTGCTTACCACGGTAATGTCAAAACTTTGCAATTCATTATGAAATTTACTCTACAAAAAATATATTTATTTTAAACATTTTCTTCAGGATGGTTAGTATGGATTATGAGAAGTTCTTTTTACACCACCAATAAGATTTTCTATGTGAAGTTTCCGATGACTAGTACGATAAACACTGTCACCTTCATCAGACAAATGACCATTGAAGCGTATGCACACAAAGGTGTAAAATGTGTACGAGTTGTCTCAATATTCTAGTACACCCTCAGGATATAACACCTAAAGATAACATCGCAGAATGCGTATACAAAATTGGATGCAAAAGATGTGACACATTGTATATTGGAGAGACTGGAAGGCGATTTGGGGTCCGACTTGGTGAACATCGGAAAGATACGGAAACCCAAGAAGGTAGGAAATTCACCAGATCAGAAAGGAAGCAGTTGGAGTCCCAGATAAATAAATCGGCAATCACAGACCATGCCACACAGAAAAACCATGTGATTGACTGGGATAACTCCAAAGTTTTGGACAGAGAGAGCAATCTGTTCAAGCGGCAGATAAAAAAAAGCCATCCGGAGACTCCGCAGTGGGCCAGTTCTAAATCGAGATGATGGGGCTCAAAGACTCTCGCACATCTATGACCAAGTATTAAACAAAGCATAGCCGAATCGACTCAATTTTGTGTACAACACGTATACATTTAACACCTTTGTGTGCATACGCTTGACATTTGTCTGATGAAGGTGACAGTGTTCATATCGTACTAGTCATCGAAATGTAACAAAGAAAATCTTATTGGTTGTGTAAAAATAACTTCTCATAAAAAATATTTATCTTACCTGAAATATGAGTTCCTCTTCAGTGCTTGCAGAGTACAACAAGCAAACTCTGCCTGGTGTATATACAGAGTTGTCTGCCCCTGCTGAGTTTCCACCGTTTGTCTCCAGCTTATCCCCCTTGCTCCCTAACAGATCTGTCACATGACACAGAATGCTGTAGAGTGGGTTTATTCCAATTCCCCCTGCTATCAGAAGAAGGTCAGATGAAGGGTCATCAGGTTTGGGATCGTAGAAGGTATCTCCTCCCGATCGTATGCTCACTTCCATATCCACCCTGCACTGTTAACAAAAAGATCCTTTTGGCATTGTGGTAAATGTCCAAAACTGCTTTCATTTTGGGTTTTTTACAAATTTTAGATACAGACATTAATTGAAGGATTAACATTACTTTAATCATATAACTCCATTAATAATGATTTCCAAAGTGCTGACTAGTGAAAAATATCAATTTATGAGTGGTTTATATTAAACTTTGTGTATTTATTCACTAAACAGACATGTCTAGTTGAGTCTTTCTAACCTGCGTGTGAACCCACAGAGCTGGTGGGTGGTCACTTCTCTTGACCGCTAGGTCCAGCAAGCCGTCCTGAACTAGTTGCCGTGGTGACGAGCACATTGAGAAGCCACCCACTTTTGCGACATCAGGTATCACCATGTCTACCCTGAAATACAACTTAAACTCTGACCCCTTACACCAAACTAGGACCCTAAAGTCTACACCAAGTCATTGTGTATATATATTGTACATTGTGGTTGTATAGACACATTCTTTGTCCTACCCCTGAAATTTCTCTATATCTTTTATGTTTATTTTCATTTTTGTTTTCAAATACTCATAATTTCAAACAACTTTAATTCTGCCGATGCTTTGCAAGATGTGCTACACAGGAAAGACATCATAGAAAATAACTCAAATATTTGGTTACAGGAAGTGCACATCCATATATTTGAATACAGGAAGTGCACATCCATATATTTGAATACAGGAAGCGTACTTCCTGTATGAAGATGTGACATAATTATAAGGACCATTCAATCCCTGATGAAGGAATAAGCCCAAATGCTTGGACCTTGAGTGGCTGTTTCTATTCACAGAAATATGACAAGATTAATATACACAAGTTTAATTTACAGTCACATAATTCAGTATGCAAGATATCATGTACTGTACAAGAATGCTGTTTCTGCTCTAAGCTGAGCACACCAAGAAAGCCAGGGTACTCCACATTAATATGTTAAATCATAAACCCATTATTTATCTCTGAACCCGCAGAGGATCAGTAGTTGAACATTGACATGACCTTGAGACAAAGATTTCAAAAACAACAGAAAGCAAGCTGGAAAATCTACAGTAGACTTCCGTTTATCTACGTAAAAGTCTGTCACCCTAGTAAAATACTAGTCGTTTCTTATCAAAATGGCTTGGCAGAAAAAGTCTTTAAAAAGCTCATTTGGTAGAGCTTCAGACTAATAACTAGAGGCCCTGGGTACATCGCTAGTAGATATTGGGCCATATTGGTTTAAGCGACTTCTTCTCTGGAACTAAGAGATGGATATCAACCATATTTGACTGGAAGCATACCTCAGTAGTGGAGATTCAAATTTGTATAAATGGTTTGGCTGACACCCAGGGATACATTGAAAAATAAAGACCTTTGTTGCACATGTATGTGACCTACAAAATATTGATGGCTCTCACAAGCATCACTGTTACCACTGGAAAAACTCTTGACACATTCTTTCCTGGACAGGGAGTATGTACTATACGTATGTCATCCTGGTAAAATACAAACCACTTCACACTGACACAAATACGGAGAATTTCTATTTATCTAATATTTTGAAGAGCATCAGACTCACTCGGTTAACAAGTGGTCTGGATTTGATCCTCAGCACAGCCATTGAAAAATAATGTCTCTGTTACATATTTCTTCCGTGTATATAAGGCCAGGGTTCGACAGAAAACATTGAACAACAACAGTAGACATACAGTCCACTCAAATTATATCTCTTTATAGACGTGAATTCTACTGTAAATGATAAACAACTACAGTAACAAAATCTATCTGTTTAAACAGACCAAGGCGTAATTTACTCAATCAAACATTTGTGCTCACCATTGCCCAGCCTTAAAGAACAAACGTCTATCGTGGACCTTCAAGGTCAGCTTTTTGACTGTCGGGGACTCATCTTCCACCTTGACAACTGTTGCACCAGACACAACCTGTAAAACACCACCACCAAAATGTTAATTTCACCAACCGTGGCAATGGACAAAAGGATACATTATGCTTTTTTTAGTTTTATTTCTTTTCAGTATCATTGTAACCAAATTTAAACTGATATTGTACGATGATTAGTCTGTGAATACCCTGGTAGTTTCAATTATTGCATTTTAAAATGTTCTTTGTTATTTTAAAACCACTCAGTCAATGTACAGCTTTTTATTCTAGTGACTTGTTCTTTCGGTGTAATCGTTACTTTTTAATCTCTGCTGTTACTTTTGGTGCCCAATTGAATATGCATGTACCAATATAATTAATTGTATATCTATGTACTGTAAAGCACTTTAAAGCGGTTTATGTTAGCTAGAAAGGGCGCTATATCAAATGTTGTATTTTTCATTTATTTATTTATATGTGTTTACAGAGTCAAAATGAAGGAGAGAAGAATATAACAGGACAGGCTGGGTTTACTATCACTGGCCAAGTAGCTTATCATTTGGTCTTTATCTTAAATTTGGAGGTCCTGGTTCAAATTCTATTCTTGTCTTGCATTTTTCTACTCTTGTTCAATTATATTCATGTTTCTGCTTGAAGTCCTTAAAACAGCAGAATATGTACTAGGTTGCATGGAGGTTCACTAAGGTCCAACATTGATGCAGTATGTACAGTTAAAGAAAAAATAGTCTTCTAAAAGATGAGCAATGTTTCTTCTCAAACAACTTGTTCTTATCCTTTTTCTTATTCCATTACAAGGGAAAATGAGAACCGATGTCCACTAGGGGATATTCAGTGTAGTACTGTGCACCCCTAGCCTGTAGTGAGGAGAAACATGAAAACTGGATTAAATTTGCTGTGACTCCCCATTTGATGTTGTCTGATCATCTCTTCTTTTGAATTTCTTCTTCCATTGAGAACTTGTACAGTACATGTCAAGGATCAAGGTGCTAGGTAGGCATGTAGCATCAGTAGGCACGGTAAAATAGAATATGATGCTCTAAGTAGGCATGTTGGCATCAGTAGGCACGGTAACAAGGTGCTAGTATAGGTTTACATCAAGGATGTGTCGGTAATCAGGGTCATATCTTATGTCTAGATCTGTTGTACATTTAAAGACTCCACAGTTCATTATTAAGGTCACGCATGAGTTATATTGACATAAGTACATGTCGAGTGATATTCAGTTCCAGAAACCTGTGTAAGTGCTCAGTGAAAATGTTAAAGAGTATTGTATAAAACAAAGTGCTCAATGATCATGTAAATGCATTGTAAACATGTACCTTGAACATGATGATAATCACAAGATTACAACATCGTGTAGCTGAGAGGAACATCAATGTCATTCGACAGGCTCACCTGTGTACATATACTGTTCATGCTGATAAAAATGTCCCAAGTCAGTGTATGCATATCTAAACTGTGGACTGTTCAAATTTTTCACAAAGATTTATACAAATATCGATGCAAGACTGTTTTGGTGAGTATTAGGATTAAGTAAATCTAAAGATATGCCATTGTGAACAAAAACATAAACAAATGTATCCACTAATAAGACAAAATGCACATTTTTGCTTTGAACTTATCTGACCTTTGACCTCAGATATAGGTCACAGTGACCTTATTCAGTGAACTGCACATCTTCTGTAGGTGATGCAGGAATGCTTCATGTTTCAGCATGATATCATACATGTTTTTAAATCTTTGCACTTCTGGTAGCAGAGACCTCATTTTACTGCACACCTCCTGTAGGTGATGCTGCAGGTATACCAAAGTCTTGTCAATTTATTGTTAGAGGTTTAAAAACTATGCCCCTGGTAAGATATAAGATTAGAACCAGATGAAACATGCAGTCCAATATAGTATGTCTCCCCTTCTGAATTTCGGGCCAGACAGGTCATGAATCATAAAATTATCTTTAGTATTTGTGTTTTCACATTATGTATCAAATTATTAATTTACAACCTATCAAGTATTTAAACCAGAAGATTTTAAGGTATGAACTAGATAATTATTAAATGTTGTCCAGAGAATATCTTGGAATTTCTGTCATGGATTGCAGCCGGAAGCCATCTTTTTTTTCTTAACTCATTCACCCCTGAAGACACATTTGAACTCCTCCAATTTAAAGGTTGGAATAGGCCATAATGAAATTTCAGGGGTGAATGAGTTAATCAGTCTCAAAATTGACTTGTAGAAATAACGGTTAAGAAAAACAAACTTATCTCCAACACTATGGCAACAGGATCTCCCAAGGCCTTTTTAGAATGCATAAAATACAGAGGGAAAAGCCACGAGTGATCTTTAATTTAGCACTAGACTAAATAGCAATTGTGTATTGTCATCTCTAGCCTAGCTTCTCTTTCTATGATCTGGTGGCAGAACTCCGGTCCAAGTGGTGACATTATGACACATATATTTCATGAAATTTAGGAACTGATGATATCTAACATAGCAACTTAGTTTTCCATGATATATATAGTTACTGACCAGGAATTGGCAAAAGTGTGTTTTTGATTTTTCTTTAACATAAACTTTGGACCTAAAAGGATATCCAAACGTTGCCTTAAATTGGTCCCGCCAAATGACCATGCCTGATATTATAACTATAATCTTATATCTCAACACTAGTCCAATAACATACATCACAAAATCAGAATATTAAAAATGTATTCAAATGGTAATTGATATTCAAACAAAACAAAAGCAATATAAAAGAAATCATTTTTTATTTAGTATTTTTTTTTTTATACAATTGGATACAATTATTAATTTGTTACTTTGAAACATACAAAAAACAGTGGAAATATATTATTCAAACAAAATTTTTGTTCAATAACTCAGCCATTTCTGTAAAGTGAGATTTTCTGAATATCAAATGTTAAGTCTTGTTTAATATAAAATTTGAAGAAAAAAAGAAAAAAATTATAAAGGAAAAAACAAGATAAACAGAATCTCTTTTTTTAAGTAAGCTAAGTATACAAATATGTTTTAAACAAATATAAATAGCCATTGTAATAGATGTATTTTCTACCATTAAATGTACATATTTCACCATTCCAGACCAGTGCAATGAACATAAGTGGGAGTGATGAATATGTCTGGTTTTTAAATGTGCCATGTGTGGTATAGAAGCTGAAAGTGTCTTCATTAATCAGTCAAAATAATTTGTGAAACCGTGATTCACCGAGATGATGCAAGGAATATTACTTTCCTGAAATAATAAAAATGTTCTAGTAGACGACTGTTGGTGTGCATGTTTCTCTAATTTCCTAGTTAATACTAAATTGTTTAAAGACAATCGGTAATTTATTGTGTCTTTAAATGTAATTTTCAAAATTAACTAACTTAAGGATCCTTGTCTCACTACAGTCAAAACACTGGAGAGTTCCACTGTGGCTTTAGAGTAACCTCCCCTGAATTTTGTATTTGCCATATATACTACTGTAGCTGATGAGGAAAGCTCTATTGGTGAGAGCGACAGACTGTGTTGTACTGAAAGTCCCTGGTTTGTTCACTCTCAGATCATGGTTGTTCATTTGTCTGTCTTTTTTTTTATTTCATTTTTATTTATTTTTCACTTAAAGTTCCACAAGGTTTCTTTTCTGAAATTACTTTTTAAAGCTATAGATATATATATATATATAAGTAACATTGTCATTTTGGTAAAAATATGCGACAGTTTCTGAGAGTGGTACAGGGATTCTTAAGTTAGATTCGTGAACACAATAAAACCAACAAGATTAAGAAGAAATGGTGACATTAATACAGTGTGATTGGAATTATTGCCCAAATCACATTATGTAGAGTTACAGAAAGGCAATCTGTGTAAAACATACATTTTCACTGAAACACTGTGTATAGTATTTGATTTGTACACATATTTATCTGTACATGTATCGAAAACAATTTTTATGACATATACAATTGTCTTGACCCATTCACCTCCAAATTAAAGTCACAATTAATCTTACCAAATCAAAGACTGGGCAAGTCCATTTTAAAAATGCAAGGGTGAATGATTTGAACACTTTAATAGATAGGTAATATGTACAGGTACCCTCAGAGGAATTTACTCCATTAGGAAAACCTGTCAGACAGGACCTCTCTGCCTTCGTAGGCACACACATTGTATATTATGCTACAGGTGGGGATTAATTATTATGGCCTTATACCTAGTTAGTATTTCTATTGCAATTTCATCATGATTATATTCATGAAAAAGAGATTCTGGGAATAAGGTAAAAAGGTTTATTATACACCCATGTATATATATATACATCAACCTTGATAAACTGCACTCCAAGCAAATAGGTGTTCAAAACATTATTATATAATTTAATTTACAACAATTATGTAACAAGTCACCTTATATTAATCACTTTTGTTGGCCCAGATGTTAGCATGCAGGGGTCTTTTTGTAATAAGTTTTTGTAATAAAAACCCACATGGTCAGGCAGGCGACTCTAAATATACCTTTTCATGTCTGATCACGGAACCAAATCCTAGTCACCTTGGTGAAAGGCTAGTGCGCTATCCACAGTGACACCTGACCAACCATTTTTAAAATACTGTTAGCATAAATGAAATTATAGAAAAGTCTAAAAAAAAAAGTATTAATTCTGTATCAATTCTTTCATAGATTTTCTTCTCAATTTTAATAAAATAATCATTAAAATATTTAAACTAGAATTGTTCTTTCTTAATGAGGTAAGGCTAACAAGATTTCAGAACAAATGCACTAATATTTATAAACAATACAATGGACATTTTAAATAATATCAGCTTCATCTTCCATAAAGTTAATACCTACAGTACACACAGCGAAAACAACACAATTGGAAACAAAACAATGGTACCATATAGGCCAAAACAAAAACAGTTGTGTTTCCTGTTTTATCTCCCAAAACTAAAAGGTAGGCAAATAGAAATACACTTTTTTTTATTTTCAAGAAGAAAAATCAGTGTTGTCATGTAAATATGACAGTAATTGGTATTTCAAAACAATCCAACAAACACTTAATCAATTTTGTTTCAGTATATTTATCAAACTTAAAAGAATATTTATAGCAATATACTTTAATAATAAGGATCAACAATAAAATGGCTAATACAATGCAAAATGCTTAATTGAAGAACATTTTTAAAAGCCAAAATATTTCAAAAATAAATGGAGAAAAAAAGGAAACCAGAGAAAACAGGTATTATTTCATTTCACCCTAGCCTCAATACTATTGCTCTAGGAATTTAAACACTTTTGATTATTTTCTGTTCTAAAGTCAACACATCAACACATCATCCTCGACATCCAGGGGTTACACAGCACTTACACTCACTTTCACTCTCTACACCCCTGGAATATGTCATAGCAAAATCGAAGGCTCAGTGTGTGCCACCTTGTTGATGGACAGGAAGGCTAGTTTGATCCTTTGATGAACATCAAAAGAATCCCGCAGTCGCCTAATGGTAAAACTTATTTGCTTTGAAGTCAGGCATCGGCTTTGAAGTCAGGCATCGGCTTTGAAGTCAGGCATCGCTCCTCAGTAATCTTCAAAGGACAAGTATCAGCCTAGTGATTGGTCAGCTATTTTTACCCGACACCAATCAAATAGCTAGCCGCATGCCTTCAATTTTGCTACGACATATTCCAGGGGTGCAGAGTTTTGCAGAAAGTATTCATTCAAAATACGTTATTATTTTTTTGTAGAATTTCTTGTTTTGGAAAGGAATCATGATTATTTTCAAAATAGACGCACACATTCCTAACAACAATAAAATGGATGTAATCTCGGGGGCATTATTGGGAGCTGACTGCGAATACATTTCTGTATGATCACCATATTAATAAAAATGTTATTTAAAGAAAGGTGGCTGATGAAATGTACTTGAATAGGTAAACAACAACAAAAATTTATATCAGAAAAAAATGTTCGACTCAGATGAACTTTAAACAAGTCATTATAAAAAGTACTTTATATAAAACACCACAGACAAAATAATCATCTAACCTTGTATACCTGATGTGTTTCTTTGAATTTGTAGCTGAACATGATGCAAAAATCATGTACCAACATAAAATTCATATTCTGATGTTATACAATTGTTATTCTGCAGGGCTGTAAAAAGGATTCCTCTTTCTCTTGTTGAGCGAGAAACAAAATTTTACAAACCAAAATGTTCAATGCAAGTATGATCACTAATTCATTAAAATGACATAGCAAAAGATGTGGAAAAATGAAACTTTTATTTAAAGCTGAGTTTGATCTATTTTCAATATGGCTGCCTGATTTTACGAGAAAAAAAAAGTCATCTTCATACAATGTACACACGGGGCTGTATAATAATTATACATACAATGTACACACAGGGCTGTATAATAATTATACATACAATGTACACACGGGGCTGTATAATAATTATACATACAATGTACACACAGGGCTGTATAATAATTATACATACAATGTACACACGGGGCTGTATAATAATTATACATACAATGTACACACAGGGCTGTATAATAATTATACATACAATGTACACACGGGGCTGTATAATAATTATACATACAATGTACACACAGGGCTGTATAATAATTATACATACAATGTACACACGGGGCTGTATAATAATTATACATACAATGTACACACAGGGCTGTATAATAATTATACATACAATGTACACACGGGGCTGTATAATAATTATACATACAATGTACACACAGGGCTGTATAATAATTATACATACAATGTACACACGGGGCTGTATAATAATTATACATACAATGTACACACAGGGCTGTATAATAATTATACATACAATGTACACACGGGGCTGTATAATAATTATACATACAATGTACACACAGGGCTGTATAATAATTATACATACAATGTACACACGGGGCTGTATAATAATTATACATACAATGTACACACAGGGCTGTATAATAATTATACATACAATGTACACACGGGGCTGTATAATAATTATACATACAATGTACACACGGGGCTGTATAATAATTATACATACAATGTACACACGGGGCTGTATAATAATTATACATACAATGTACACACGGGGCTGTATAATAATTATACATACAATGTACACACGGGGCTGTATAATAATTATACATACAGCTGCAACACTTAAGTTTGTTGTAGAGTCACTGAAAAACTTACACCATGAACAAACATGTTATACATGCAAAAGATAAATGTTATTTTACAAACTGTTTATATTATCTTACCAAAAATGTGGTTACCCTAGATACTGACATATTTAAGCAATGATCAACATTCCATACAACCTTTTGTTGCTCTTGCAGAACCACCTTACTGACAAAATAAAATGAGTCATTAGATCATATTTATAGTGAGTAAATAAAATCGTACTTGAAATATAATGTATTGGTCCATAAGGTAAACAATATTCTTATGTCTAATAATACAGAGCGATAACACAGATATATGTCTGTACCTCGTATGTACACGTAGTTTGTGAGATAACTTTCTTACAAGAAAGATGTATACATTACAATATTGTTATCATTTTGCAACAAGAAAACAGTTTCTCTGGGTTTTTTTTATATAAATAAAAAAATAAAACCAAAGTGTTAGTTTCAATCATATTGTGAGTGATGAGTGCATGCAATTAATTAAAAAAAAATGTCAAACACATTTAAATTCTTATACATGTATATAAAAGATTTTTACGAAATGAGATTCCTAAACTTGTTTTGATTGACAAAAACATAAATGTATAAACAGAAATGTATGAAGTTTTCTAGAGGAAAGAAAGAAATAAAATTCAATTTTAACAACCCTTCAACTATTTCAACTTTATCAATAATATTATCGCTAAAATATTTATATATTGAGTGATCAATGTACAATTTATTTTCATGGGTCCTTTTCAACTGTATTGCAAAAACCAATGGGTCCCAAATGTTAAATTTAAGTACTTCTTGAAATTCTATTGAGTCCCATCAAATTATATACGTATAGGACTCGGGACTCATTTGTAGATTTATCACTGTATATTAACTGAATACTCACTCAAAATGAAAATATATTTTATAGCCACACATCTGTGGGTCACACAATGGGTACAAAGTCCCTATACCATCATACCAGTTTATATTAATATCTCGCATATAAAAACAAAATTATACAATACAATATATATTAGATCTGGGGTCATAAGTAATTATAATACATTGATTACATCTTGATAGCAGTATAATGCAACGAGACATTTACTTTAACCCGCTGTATAACGACTCACATATTCAACCTAAACAACCCATTCCTTAAAAACTCGATCCCTATATCTTTTGTTTCTGGTTCAGGTATCACATTCATACACCTTGATTTATAGACTTACTCCCAAGAAATTATTTTTCAAGATTTCTGTACATGAAAAAAACACTTTCACAAAATTTGATCCAAAATGAATCATTCTTAGCATGTTACCAGAAACTCAACAGTTATTTCCTTGTTCTGATAAATGCTCTCCTATATTTTAATTCATTAATCAATCAATGTGTAGGTATTAGATGAAAAAGTAATATAAGTTTCAAACCATTTATAATCTTTCAATTTTTTTTCCTAACTTAATGTGAGGAGAACTGGGACACACCGGAAAATAATGATATTCACTGTGAACAAGGCACTGCCCAGGTGAAAGTATGAACAATTCAGAACAAAGTCCATTTTGTATGAAAATGTCCACTAATTTATACATCAACATTGAGCTGTTTTGGATTCTCCCAGGTGAACCCTGGTCTTCCGAAGTGTCCATAGCAGGCGGTCTTCTGATAGATGGGAGCATGGAGGTTCAGGTCCTTCACAATGGCACCAGGTCGAAGGTCAAAGTTATCCTTAATGACCTTGAGAAGTTGTCGCTCTGTGAGGTCAGATGTTCCATAACTCTGTACATTGATAGACAGAGGCTTGGCCACACCAATAGCATAGGACACCTGGAGCAGAACTCTTCTACATAAACCTGCCTTTACCAACGACTTGGCAATCCAGCGCGTTGCATAAGCTGCTGATCTGTCAACCTTAGAGAAGTCCTTGCCAGAGAAAGCCCCTCCTCCATGAGCTCCCCAACCCCCGTAAGTGTCTACGATAATCTTGCGACCTGTAAGACCTGCATCACTTTGTGGACCGCCAATGATGAATTTTCCAGAGGGCTGTATGTGGAAGATTGTATTACTGTCAACATATCTCTGCGGAATGACAACATTGACAACCTTCTCCATGATCTGCTCACGTAAATCTTCTGTTGTCACATGCTCATTGTGCTGAACAGACACAACGATGGTGTGTACACGTATTGGTATGCAAGCCCCACCATCATACTTATATTCCACCGTCACCTGAGTCTTGGTGTCTGGTCTAGCCCAAGGTAGTCCCCCGTTACGACGTAACTCAGCAATTTTCTCATTGAGCTTGTGTGAAAGGACTACTGTGAGGGGCATGGATTCCTCGGTCTCATCTGTTGCATATCCGAACATGATACCCTGGTCTCCTGCTCCGATGTCATCTTCAGATCTGTTCTGGTGCACACCCTGGGCGATATCTGGACTTTGCTGCTCTAAGGCCATCAGAACATTACAAGTCTTGTAGTCGAAACCCTTGGCCGAGTCATCATATCCAATCTGTTGTACGGTATCACGGACCACCTGTTGATAGTCGACAGTGGCTGAACTGGTTATCTCCCCAGCGAGCAGAATCATGCCGGTTTTTGCAACTGTTTCGCATGCTACCTTAGCCTTTGGGTCCTTTCGCAGCAAAGCATCTAGAATGGCATCGCTAATTTGGTCACACATCTTGTCGGGGTGCCCTTCCCCGACAGACTCGGACGTGAACAGGAATGTTCCAATGTCGTCTTGGCTACACTCCTCAGCATAGTGTTTGTGGATCTCGGTGTAGTGTTCTGCCCCAGGCGAACAATTATTTGTGCTGTTAGACATTTTATCACAGGGCTTTAAAGGTGTACTTACTTCGTGTCTTGTGTTACTGGCTGTTCTTTTAAGGTGGTCAGAGTACATACGCCTGCCACTGTAAATTAATTGAAGATAAATTATAAGACATGAAAGCAAAGTTATATTGAACATCAGTCTTCCAAACGAATTTTCAAAAAAAAAGGAGTGTAGGATGCTTTGTGGGTGTTATTTTTTTGTATATTAACAGAAAAGTTTGATGTAATTTCACTTTCAGACAGTTTGCTTGTGATATTTTGATTACATAGGGAACATATATAGCTATAGGTGTCTATCTATCGTCACTTCTAAGTAATCATCAGAAATCGCACTAGGGACAATGGTTCAAACTGGAGGTATATAATATATCAACAAAACATGACAATATCTTAAACTATTCTTCAATAGCATTCCCTCTTTACACACCCTATCATATAAAGAGCAGTCTGCTTCCACCAGGGATCAAACCTGTGACTCCCAGCTTGCCAGTCTGTTGCTCTAATGATTGCGCTAAAGAGAAATTCACTCTAGCCCACTTTTTAAAGGCAACTGCCAACTATAATCCTATTTACAATTAAAATCTGCTACACATATATACTTGTCCTATATTCTAATAATACCAACAAGCAAGCCATATATCAAGTTGTACCATACACGAAAACGTTAGCACTCACTCATGGTAAAATATTTATTTTCTGGAAGATAAAATTGAGTGTGCACCAACACTCAAGAAATCCTTTGACAAACTTAGCCTATAACAGTAAAAGGGCAACATGCACACTCTCCTATATCACGCAAAACAAAAAGTTTGACCTGCTACAACAGGTCAGGGGATGCTGTTTCAGTACCAAGATGTTTTATTACTTGTGTAATGGACGTTTTTTACATTGTATTTGACTTTCACCTGACTTCTTGTGTGCTTGGACCAGTGACTTTTTTTATCTAGTTTGAAAGCTGAATACAGGCTGCTTCCCCTAGCTAAAAGGTACTTAGGCCTATATATTTCCAAAATACAGAGAGAAAAAATCAGAAATATTTTCCCAATTTCACTGAAATAATGCTATAACGTTATATTCCCAATTTACTTCAACAGGACACTCTTAAACGTTCAATATACTGAACTTTTTTTTTAACTTTATGATAAAAATTTATGTAGGAATAGGCTGTTGTATAACCACGGACTTAAATAATCTAATTCCGTGGTAAAACTTCGGCTGATAAATTATTGTGGAATTATATTTACGTCTTAACTTTGTACGTGTTTGTCTAGATCTGTGTCCTGATTTCAAAATTCTTCAGCACTATTCGTCTTTTCAATCAGTACCGACATCATATTTATAGGTACCGAAACTTCTGCCTGTCTGCTGCTTCACGAAAGGACGCACCGTTGCACTTACCAAAACTCAGAGGAAACACTTGAGAAATTTCGCCAAGAACGATTAATTGATATATGAGAAATATATTTCAGACACTGTCTGCTTATTTTCATATCAATTTCCTTCCTCAAAATTCATTTTAGTTTCTAGTTGCAATTGTCACGCGTTCTCTCGGTGGTATAAAGGAAGTGTGATAACTTGTCTAATATAACAACCCTAGTAATTATCCGGTGCCGCATAATCCGGAATTGTTATAAGGGGCCAACGTTAACGAACCCACGTACAGTAGACCACACACACCTGTTGGTAAGAATATACTCTCGTAAAAATTCAAATTTTTCTACTTACCCCCTATTTTAAAGCCCATAGCGTATTGTAGGTATTTTAAGAAAAGAAAAGAAAAAAGGAAAATGGTTTGTCCATGTGATAATATTTTTTATTACATACTTACTAATAAATACAGTTTTTTTGTAAATGCGATACGACACAATTGCTCTAACCCATATCAGCCCTCACCGTATCACATCCCAAAACCCGTATCAGCCCCCGCCGTATCACACCCCAAAACCTGTATCAGCCGGCCTATCCGTATCTGAGCCCACAAAACCAGTATCACACCCCTTTTGGAAAAATTTCTTTTTTCAATATTTTAAAAGAAAAATAGATCATCAGATAGAAGTTTTTATTAGTAAGTATGTAATAAACAGAATAAAACACCTCTTTTTCCATATCACACCCATGCAGTATCAACCCTCGACCAATATCAGCCCTCGGGCTGATATATTGCAGTATCGGGTTGATACTGGGTGTGATATGGAAAAAGGCATGTATTATTCTCTATATACAAATATACATTTATCATGGTCCTGTGTAAAATTATTATCACACAGCTAGGTCCTTAAGCAAATTATGAACAATTTTTAAAGCAAAAATTTAAGTACATGAAAAAAATGTCTAAAAAAAATTATATATTGCTTGTAGAATCTAACCTTTTTTAAAAGATTGCAAAAGATGACAAACTAAATGATTTGATCAGAGATGTCAAAAGCCATTTGGAATATCCTAAAAAAAACAAGTGTATTTTGAAAATCATCATCATCATCATCATCATCATCTCAATGTTCTAAGCGTTAGATACAGATGCTACATGCTTTTATTACCCTGTGGCTGCTTTTCATTTCCTCAACTTTCCTCTCCTACATGTTACGTATTTCTCCCATTTCTCCCTCCTTTCTGCCAGTAGTTTTATAATCTCTGTTCTTGCATTAGTCCACTCTATTACCTCCGTTAATGCCCTGTTTGTAAATTGTTCGTCATCAGCACCAAATTCTCCTATTTTTTTCATTTTTTCCTTTAATTCGTGCTAGCTCTCTCCAATATTGACCTTGACGTTATCAATTTGTAAAAGTGAACTCCAAACACCATCCCAACAAACGTTACAAGGTTGGAAAAACGGAATAAAAATAGTATGACACAGTGACCACCATAAAAAATACATGTACAGCGCGTGAAGTAAATAGCATTAAGGAGGGGCCGTACCAGTGGACACCATCAGTCTCAGCTAAACTCAACATACTTGTCAACACATATGAGATAGATCAGAGATAAAATAAAGAATATAATGTTGTACTACAATGTATTGTAAAAGATGTGCATTGATTAGGTTGCCTTACAATTGTCAGCTGTAGGGAATTTCCATTTAGCTCTGTGTTAGAGCATCAGGCTTGAGAGCCAAGGGTCGCAGGTTCAAACTAAAGTGACAGCACTATCTTTATCACTATTCCTTGTCCAAACTTCAAAAAACTCTGATACAACAACTGATTGGTTTGGTTTTATTGGGTTTAACGTCCTGTCAACCGCTATGGTCATTTAAGGGCTTGCCTGCGTGTGTGATGTGTGCAGGAGAGTAACAATGACTGAAAAGGTTAAGGATGCTGACTAACTTAATTTAGCCCACCATGATCAGATATACTATAAAAATATACTGTCTTTGTTCATGAGTTAGTGTGTCCTTGACCAAGAGTTAAAAAGTGTGTCTTTGTCCCTAAGTAAGTGTGCCTTTATCCATCAGTTAGTGTGTCTTTGTCCATGTATCTTTGGCCATGAGTTGGAGTGTCTTTGTCTATGAGGTAGTTCGAGTGTCTTTGTCCATGAGTTAGTGTGTCTTTGTTCATGATTTAGTGTCTTTGTCCCTAAGTTAGTTTGTCTTTGTCCATGAGTTAAAGTGTCTTTGTCTGAGTTAGTTTGAGTGTCCTTGTCCATGAGTTAGTATGTCTTTGTCCATGAGTAAGTGTGAGTGTCTTTGTCCATGAGTTAGTGTTTCTTTGTCCATGAGTTAGTGTGTCTTTGTCCATGAGTAAGTGGCTTTGTCTATGAGTTAGTTTGAGTGTCTTTGTCTATGAGTGAGTGTATCTTTGTCCATGAGTTAGTGTGTCTTTGTCCATGAGTAAGTGTATCTTTGTCCATGAATTAGTGTGTCTTTGTCCATGAGTAAGTGTCTTTGTCTATGAGTTAGTGTGAGTGTCTTTGTCCATGAGTTAGTGTATCTTTGTCCATGAGTTAGTGTGTCTTTGTCCATGAGAAGGTGTCTTTGTCTATGAGTTAGTTTGAGTGTCTTTGTCCATGTGTTAGTGTGTCTTTGTCCAGGAGTAAGTGTGAGTGTCTTTGTCCATGAGTTAGTGTATTTTTGTCCATGAGTTAGTGTGTCTTTGTCCATGAGTAAGTGTCTTTGTCAATGAGTTAGTGTGAGTGTCTTTGTCCATGAGTTAGTGTGATTGTCTTTGTCCATGAGTTAGTGTGTCCTTGTCCATGAGTAAGTGTCTTTGTCTATGAGTTAGTGTGAGTGTCTTTGTCCATGGGTGAGTGTATCTTTGTCCATGAGTTAGTGTGTCTTTGTCCATGAGTTAGTGTGAGTGTCTTTGTCCATGAGTTAGTGTGTCTTTGTCCATGAGTTAGTGTGTCTTTGTCATGAGTTAGTGTGTCTTTGTCATGAGTTAGTGAGTGTCTTTGTCAATGAGTTAGTGTGATTGTCTTTGTCCATGAGTTAGTGTGTCTTTGTCCATGAGCTAATATGAGTGTCTTTGTCCATGAGTTAGTGTATCTTTGTCCATGAGTTAGTGTGTCTTTGTCATGAGTTAGTGAGTGTCTTTGTCCATGAGTTAGGGGATTGTCTTTGTCCATGAGTTAGTGTGAGTGTCTTTGTCCATGAGTTAGTATGAGTGTCTTAGTCCATGAGTTAGTGTATCTTTGTCCATGAGTTTGTGTGTCTTTGTCCATGAGTTAGTGTGAGTGTCTTTGTCCATGAGTTCGTATGAGTGTCTTAGTCCATGAGTTAGTGTATCTTTGTCCATGAGTTTGTGTGTCTTTGTCCATGAGTTAGTGTGTCTTTGTCCATGAGTTAGTGTGAGTGTCTTTGTCCACGAGTTAGTGTCTTTGTCCATGAGTTAGTGTCTTTGTAAATGAGTTAGTGTGTCTTTGTCCATGGGTAAGTGTGTCTTTGTTCATGAGTAAGTGTGAGTGTCTTTGTCCATGAGTTAGTGCAAGTGTCTTTGTCCATGAGTTAGTGCGAATGTCTTTGTCCATGAGTTAGTGTGTATTTGCCCATTGGTGAATGTGTCTTTGTTCATGAGTTAGTGTGAGTGTCTTTGTCCATGAGTTAGTGTGAGTGTCTTTGTCCATGAGTTAGTGTGTCTTTGTCCATGAGTTAGTGCGAATGTCTTTGTCCATGAGTTTGTGTATCTTTGCCCATGGGTGAATGTGTCTTTGTTCATGAGTTAGTGTGAGTGTCTTTGTCCATGAGTTAGTGTGAGTGTCTTTGTCCATGAGTAAGTGCGAGTGTCTTTGTCCATGAGTTAGTGCGAGTGTCTTTGTCCATGAGTTAGTGCGAGTGTCTTTGCCCATGGGTGAATGTTTCTTTGTTCATGAGTTAGTGTGATTGTCTTTGTCCATGAGTTAGTGTGAGTGTCTTTGTCCATGAGTTTGTGCGAGTGTCTTTGTCCATGAGTTAGTGCGTGTGTCTTTGTCCATGAGTTAGTGTGAGTGTCTTTGTCAATGAGTTAGTGTGATTGTCTTTGTCCATGAGTTAGTGTGAGTGTATTTGTCCATGAGTTAGTGTGAGTGTCTTTGTCCATGCGTTAGTGTGAGTGTCTTTGTCCATGAGTTAGTGTGAGTGTCTTTGACCATGAGTTAGTGCGAGTGTCTTTGTCCATGAGTAAGTGCGAGTGTCTTTGTCCATGAGTTAGTGCGAATGTCTTTGTCCATGAGTTAGTGTAACTTTGCCCATGGGTGAATGTGTCTTTGTTCATGAGTTAGTGTGGGTGGCTTTGTCCATGAATTAGTGTGATCGTCTTTGTCCATGAGTTAGTGTGAGTGTCTTTGTCAATGAGTTAGTGTGATTGTCTTTGTCCATGAGTTAGTGTGAGTGTCTTTGTCCATGCGTTAGTGTGAGTGTCTTTGTCCATGAGTTAGTGCCAATGTCTTTGTCCATGAGTTAGTGTATCTTTGCCCAAGGGTGAATGTGTCTTTGTTCATGAGTTAGTGTGAGTGGCTTTGTCCATGAATTAGTGTGATCGTCTTTGTCCATGAGTTAGTGTGAGTGTCTTTGTCCATGAGTTTGTGCGAGTGTCTTTGTCCATGAGTTAGTGCGAGTGTCTTTGGCCATGAGTTAGTGCGAATGTCTTTGTCCATGAGTTAGTGTAACTTTGCCCATGGGTGAATGTGTCTTTGTTCATGAGTTAGTGTGAGTGTCTTTGTCCATGAGTTAGTGCGAGTGTCTTTGTCCATGAGTTAGTGCGAATGTCTTTGTCCATGAGTTAGTGTATCTTTGCCCATGGGTGAATGTGTCTTTGTTCATGAGTTAGTGTGAGTGTCTTTGTCCATGAATTAGTGTGATCGTCTTTGTCCATGAGTTAGTGTGAGTGTCTTTGTCAATGAGTTAGTGTGATTGTCTTTGTCCATGAGTTAGTGCGAGTGTCTTTGTCCATGAAATAAGGAGTCATTGTCCTCAAGTTAATGTGTCTTTGCCCATGGGTGAATGTGTCTTTGTTCATGAGTTAGTGTGAGTGTCTTTGTCCATGAGTCAATGTGAGTGTCTTTGTCCATGAGTTAGTGTGAGTGTCTTTGTCCATGAAATAAGGAGTCATTGTCCTCAAGTTAGTGTGTTTTTGTCCCCTTGTTTCATTTGTCGTTGCCATAAGTTGCAAAACTTGAGCAAATAAAAAAAAAAGGATTGAAACGAAGCACAACCTAGGTCTAAATAGATTCTTGTGATACATATCTTTGTCACAGTGCTATCTGTATTTCTTAAGCAGGTTAAATTGCCATCAAAATTTTACTTTCTTCACAAACAATGTATGTATGAAACATGCTGAAAAGTTTCAAGACCGACTGGTCCCTTTGTCAAGCTATGACTCAGCGAGTGATTTTTTATTTTTTACAAAACGTTCTCTCAGTCATAGCTTGACAAAGGGTCACCAGTCGGTCTTGAAACATTGTGACACGTTTAATATGTACATTATTTGTGGAGAAAAGAAAACTTTGACTTTGCATATTTCCAAACTGATGAATCTATTTTGAACAGGTTCAAGTACCATGTAGGCAATTTCTTAAACTTTATTTGTTCACCTCAGGAACAACAGATCAAAGAAATCACATAAACATTTTAAAGGTTGCCAAACGCTCACCATTCTTGAAAATTGGATTTGATTTAAACAAATTTTATTGCATATATGATGCAAGCAGATTGTTCCACAGAACCTAAGTATCTTTCTCCGACATAATTTACATGTTACACTTCCCTTTTCTCCCACACTTCACAGGTCGATTCACGTTTTTGGTAGGGAAAATATAAACCTGTCTTGATCTACCTCGATCAAGACAGCTGACACGCGCTATTACGTCACAGACAACACACTTCCTTCAACATGACCTGTGGCTCTGTGCACTTTTAGCAAAACCGATTACATCATCACTTTTTACACACATGTAAACAAAACATGGCAAGCTCAGCATTCCAACAGTTCAAAATAGGCAAAGCCTGGTGCTAAATTTAAAAAGATATCTCACCCTCTGGTTGAGATATCTCTGTCTACATCACACAGGAGTGATAGATTATATTAATCCTAGTTGTTCTTGTACCAGCCGATTAGCGTCTGACCTCAGGGTTCAGTTGTAGTACGCTTCCACAGTACAAATAAATTTGAGATGCCATAATTTTTAATGCATAAATTATGCAAATGTTTAAAAAAGGAACAACAATTAACATTTCCAATACTTATACTCAGAACCAGATATACAAAATGTGTAATGTTGAAAATTGTGACATCTTTACATGTTCTATACCCTCAAAATGGCCTGGTTTTAGGTTTAATAGTAAATATGAAACCAGATCATTATTTCATGTTTATTCAATTGATAAAGTGGGCCCATTATGACAACTTTCAGGTTTACTTTTTAAAATGGCTTGGATTATTACAACATTTAATATGGACCCCCAGAAAGTACAAATACCTTTTAAAGTTCAATATCAAAATTTAGTTGGTTAATTCGCACAAGTGTTCGGACTGTATACATGCAGGCCATTAAAGTTCTCGGCTCTGTTTTTCCTTGCCAAAACCAGTCATCAAACCGTGAACCTTGTGGTAGTCACTGGTGGCTGAAAAGTTCTTTAAATCCTCTAAACGGTGTCCAGCTGTGGCAACTGAAATAATATTGCTTATATGCTTAAAACACATGTCTCTCAATAAATATAACTAAATGATGGCCAAAAATATTTCTTTTCTAAAACCATCTTAATTTGCTCTCTCAAAAAGGTATTTATTGGCTAAACTAATATTTGTATAGCCCTTTCAGCTTGTGCGGCCATCTTATTTAGCACCTTGATATATCCCCTCGTCCACCAAACTCCAGGCTAGACATCATCACTCCACGACTCATGATAGTTTAAAAGAGTTAACACCTGTGATCCCTGCGACTTATGTATGGGTCAAAGTCAAACAATATTAAAACGGTTCATAGCCGTGGCTTTACCTCAGCAAGCTCTATGACTTATGGCCTTGCATTTCTTGAGAAGTTGTTTAAGGAAAAAGTCGTTTACGATGGATGTCATGCCACCGTATCAATCAGCTCACTGGCACTTCAAGTCAATTGAGTGATAATGTATAAAGTTAATACAACAAAATATATCAATATATATGTTGATTCAAATTTACATTGATTAATGATAATGGTACTGGCCACAGGTTGGTGTTTTTTCTCAGTGTTTTCCAGCTTTCCTCCACCACCAAAACCTGGCACGCCCTTACATGACCATAGCTGTTAATAGGACGCAAAACACAATCAAACAAAGATTAATGAAATCTACTGAAGACATTTGATACAAACCAATCTAATTTTGAACAAAATACCCAAAGATAAGGAACACTATTTGTTTTCTCAGAATTCTCTTTTTATTTGACACTCATTCATGAATTATCTTACTTCAAAACACCAATACTTAACTTAACTATCATATCAACAAACACAAGTGTCATACACATTTAATGAGACAAGACAGCATGTCATTGATTCAAACAGTTATATATATAGATCTGGGCACTCAATATTTAAAGCAGCTGTTATAATTTTCTGTTATCTACAGATGAATTACAAAATTATTTCAGATGATTTTTAATGAAATAGATTACAGATGGACAATTGGTATTCTTTATGTCTGAGTAATGTGTGGTAAAAATTCAAATACCTCTTTCCCAGGTCAAAAATATTTTATTTCCTTGATACGGGAAATATGTTAAGCCAAATTAAAAGGCCAAGTAGATAATTATCTCAATTTGTAAGGAATTTCCAACTGGAAGTGTACTATGCATTTTTCAAAGATCAAATCTCAAAAACAAAACTTGAATATATAACAAATGCAGACCAAAAAATCCTCTTCACTGGCACACATAATCACATTGCAATAACATACAGATCAACCTTAACTCATTCACCACTGAAGACACATTTGAACTCTTCCAATTCAAAGGTTGGAATAGTTCATTATGAAATTTCAGGGGTGAATGAGTTAAAACGTTGTTCCAACTTCTAAAACACCTGTCAAGAAATATTTCCCTTCCAATTCTATAAGTACACAGGCAAATCTTCCTAATATAAAGCTCACGCACTTTATTTATTTTTTTCTGTTAAATTTAGTATCAGGAAAAAATTGCCTGTGTAAGTAGAATATCAATAGGTTGCCTCACTGTATACTGCTAAACACACATGAAAGACGCGGCGGAATCGTTGTCGTTAGGAGTCCGTCATCATTTCTATGATAGGGTGCGAGAGTGGAGCGTTGGTAAACAAACACCCTACATAGCATTTTGTCCCCCACAGGTGATGACGGATAACCTTACAGCATCCCAAATCTTCTATCTCAAAGCCTAATTTACGATAAACTTCATCGGTTTCAAACAGCGTAGCATTTGTGTGAGGGCCGAGGAACTGCAAAATAAGAAATTCAATATTTTTTATAAAGATCTTCTTACCAAATCATGGATAAAATGCAATTATTCCAAGGGTAAAAGCTGTTTTTGCATCAGTATTCAAATTTCAGACAGATTGCTATTTTGGATTCTGAGACAATTTCCGGAAACGAAAGTTTGGACAGACAGGCAGAAGGACGGACAACGTGATTACAATAGGGTTAAACATGATAACAAATGATTTTATGATGCATTAAAGGCAGGGCTACCTAATTATATACGGTTAAGTATGGGTTTGAAGGACATACAGCAAGCGTACTATCCTTATGACCAAAAGTCACTTGGTAGCAGAAGATGGAACAGTAAATATTACCCCTCAAAATGAAGAAATCAAATAATATTAACAGAATGGTCTTGGAGTACAAGTAGAAGAGATATTACTTACTGGTTTTCCGCAGGAGGGGTCGATGAAGTCGGCCCAATAGCCCCCGCTTTCCAGAACTTCACAGATCTCCTTTGCTCCCTGAACAAACTGTAGAGACACAATATTCTATGTATATGTTATAATGTTTACAAGTGCAAAGCAACACAAGGTCATGTTGTTTTTTCTATAGCTAGTGATAACTAATGTTTGTCAGTAAGCCTTTTAAATGAATTTTATGACTGAGGGCTATTTTTGGAAATACCAGGTAAGCTTTATAGTTGAACATAATTCATGTTACATTGTATTCAGGTATAAGCCCAGTGCCTTATCCATTTTCCACCTGCTATCTAGAAGCTGAGCCTCTTTAGGCTGGTCTTTGGGGAAACAAGAGGCCCAATGGGCCTGCATCGCTCACCTGGTAAAAAACTCACACTTGTAACCTTAAAAGTGATCTAAAATAAAGCTACAGGCAAAATATCAGTATTTATGATTAAAATTCATTCAAAAGACGCTGTTATTTTTTTTTTAACATTTCGACCCTGTGATTGAAAGTCGAACAAAGTCATTATGTTGAACACATTGTATAGCCTTTCATCTCAGGATGCAACTTGCAAAGTATAAACATCCTGGGACCCATGGTTATTCAGAAGAGGTTGTTTAAAGATTTTAAACAAATTTGACCCCTGTGACCTTGAATATAAGTCAAAGTCATTCACTTTAACAAACA